GTTACGCAACACGGTAAGAGTCACGTCCGCTTTTCTAGTGGTGAGCTTGGGCTGCCTGTGCCGAACCTAGCGCAGCAATGTTCGTACGTTATGATCTCGAGCCAAATATTTTCCCGTTCGGCCCACCCACTAAATCAATAAGTACTCAAACATAATTTATTTTGGACTGTGAGTATATGAAAATTCGAATTGATAAATGAATATGTAAGTGATCTTCGCATTAGTGAACACTACCGTTCTGAGTACGTCCTGTATCAGATTACTCATACGCTCGAAAGAAGTATTCAGTACGCCCTATTCTTGGTTTTCATGTCATGTCATCAAAATAAAAAAATGAGGAATATCAATCCTTATAAGATTTTAGTTTTGTAAGTTAATAGAACAGTTGACCACTAATTCATACAAAGCCTTACAAATTTGAGTGAGACCTTTCTTCGAATATCTCCCGCATAAAACATCGCACAGTCCTGAATCTTTGCGAGACTGTTTAAGTATTCATCTTATTTTATCTCTTTGGTTCTTGAATTTATTTGTTTAATGGTAATAGTACTTGTATGAATACGCCCGCGCATTGTAAAAAGCAATTCAACTGATGAGGGTCTGTTACTAAAGTAGTACACTTGTTGTCAGATACATAGCGAAATAACTAAAAAAACGTATTTTTAATTCTCGTATTGCACCAATTTTGGCGCACACTGGGGGGAAATTTCCTGCCGGTGAAAGCGGTCATGGGATCAAGTCCTGTACAGGCCTGAATTTTTTCAGGCTTTATTTTCACTACTTCTTAAGTAATGTTCACCACTGCGAAGACCACTCGAATATCTTGCATATATTTTATTTGTATGTTTCACCTATGCAGAAATATTCTTATTTTCCTGAGGAATGTAACTGCTGTAGTTTCTTTCAAGAGAGTAGATGAAAGCGTAAGCTGTCTCCATTTACATTGCGGGTGGGAGCGCAGAACAAGTTGAGTCTATAAAGGAGGTTCTTCTTCCTTACTCATCTTGCTCTCGCTCTTTCCGCCCGCATGCAGACTTTTATTTGAGTGATTCAAGAAAACAAACAGTTTGTGATCTCTTGAGTGAGTACAGTACATATCAACCCTCAACAACTCAGTAAGAAGACGACGAATAAACACTTCATTCTTGAAGTTATCACTGAACAAAACAGCTCGTTTAGGAGCCATCAATTAAATAAAAGTCTCTGACCAACAGTAGCCGAATAAACATTCGATCCACGGTATTCAGCGGCTCGTGTCGGAAGAAACTGTGAAGTTTGATTGGTTGAAAATATCATTTAAAATGTCTGAGATGTCGGTCTTCATGACTCTACAGTTTCGCCCATACGGTGCATTTAAAAACTTTGGGGCAGTTTCCGTTTTAGAACGAAATTTGCTGTTCTTGAATTTGATTTCTTTTGTGCTTAATTTGAGGAGGCGAGGAATTTTTTTTCAAAGGGAAATAAACTTACTTACTTTTCTTTATATTTCTGCTGACTCTTGGAAAAGGAAGCGTGTCTTGTCTGTCTTGTTTAGTATTCTGATGGTATGACTGGGGAAGCCACAAGTAAGAAACTGAAAAAATGCTTTCCCTGAAAAACAGAGATGAATGAAAATAACTAGTGTTATGAGAAAAGGTAACAGACGAATAAGTCAAACAAAAGATCGTTCAGGAAACCTAAAACAGAGCTATGTCGCTTTCAAGCTTTACAATCTTATATAGAATAACATTGCATCTTTGTTCTTTTTATATCAGAATTCCCCGTTCACGCATCGTGTGTCTACTTTAACACTTTCACTAATTAACAGACCCTGACACTCATGAGTTGTTTAGCTTGAAGCTTCTCCCTACAGTATTGATAGATTATGAAGCCACTAGTTTTAGACGTGGACGATGGACGATGATATATTTTTACGATGAAAAAACCTCATTCTCTAAAAACATTTACAATGCCATTTATCACAATTAGAGAGGATACCTAGTCATTTGATCTACCCAAGTCCTACTTTAGCTTTTGAGTTTTTCGTTTATTTTGCAGACTGTTTTCGCTGCAAAAATCTAAGATCATTTCGAAGTTGAAATCCTCCGCCATTAAATGTTTAGTCCAAAACATTTAAAGCTTTGTGAAGCGGGAAAAGATTAATCCTTGAATTATTTATATACTACTTACCTTTGAAAAGTAAACGTGTCAGGCTTGTTCGGTATTCTAGTGGTAGGACTAACTTGGAAACCAAAAGTAAGAAACTGAAATAAAGCTCAGTCTCTGCAAAACAAAGGTAAATGCAAATAGCTATTGTTAGAAAAGAATGACAACTTGTTGGGTGCAAAAAATTAACAAACTAAAGTGGAACAACGAATGCCCTGAACGAATATTAAGTCCGATTTTTAAATGGAAAATAAGGAAACTGTCGAGGATAGCCAGGGTCGATCGCTCTCCATCTTCCCTATAAATCAAACCAACGGGTTTGCCCGCCTTGAATTCATATGAAATTTAGCCATACTGTGCGATTGGTCTATACTTTCTTTCAATATTACCGCCAACACTGAGAAGCCTTTAGCTACGCAGAACGGCCAAGTCAAAAGCATTAGACGTGACAAAATGGATCTTTCATGAGAAATGAATGGCTGCCCATGTGCTGAACATTTTCTTGGGATGACATTTTCAATTTCGAATGGCCATATTTCACCCATTTCTTGCATTGAAAACGCAGACAACGGTTTCCGTCTTTCTAAATCTGAACATTGTTTTGTCGAGGATAACTGGTTCCGCACATAAAACGCAGAGTGTACATTTAACAGTTTTAAACTTCTCAGGGCGGTTTTAAAACACAGATTAGGAATGTCCTCGGGTTTCAATTGACTCAAGTGTTTTTATTATCCTAAAGCTACATGGATGTCAGAATGAAGCGAATTTGACCAAACACGAAAGAAGAACCAAGCTCAATGTCGTTTGATTCAAGTTAGGCGATTCAAGTTTTCTCCTTTGAAAAATCTTAAAACATAGAATTTAATTTATCTTCAAGTACATGTCCTACATTCTTCGCAATTCATGGTGTGTCGGTATATCAATCGATATAGTAATGGTCGTTATTCATAAAGGCGTTGAAATATGTATCGCAAATTTGATGGTATCTCATATTAAACATCAGCACTATTTGTGTATCAAATTACTTACCACGACTCCAACTTTGAACACTTTGTCGCTTTGTAAAGTGAAGCAACCAACATAGAGTCAGCAGCATATGTTTAATTAAGGTACATTACTAGTGGTAAGTCTAAGCCAACCCCTGAGGCGCAGATGTAGAGCGTTCCCCCCTCTAACAACGTGGTCTAGTTACGCTGTTCCTTTACCTGACTCAACTGACAGAAAGCCCTGGAGGGAGAACTCGGTCTTCAATCTGTTTGGAGTGTACAATCAGCTTCTTGAAGCCTTCAGCTTATTTATATTAACAATACATCATTAATTTGTTCTAATAGACAGCCACGAGGTTGCGTTACTGAATGGAGGGAGCGCGTCACGTTATTTAGTATTTTAAATGAGGAAGAAAATGTCTGTCTAGAATTATTTTGAACCAAACCACTTTATACCAAGAGAGATTCTCGCTGGGGGGTAATCAATTATGATGTCAGTACAAGCCATGATGCTCTGTTTACAATATTTTAAAGAATATAATAAGCTTCATCTTTATGAACGCCTATTGATCGATAGGAAACATCAAACGTACACCCTCAGTGAAATTTAGTGACCCTCTTTGCTGGCAGAGGCCATCTCGCAAGATAGCGAGAGTGTTTCCCGCATAAGTTATTACCAAGGATAGCGCCGGATTTTCAGCGTGGGTATTGTTTGCAAACCCTTAACATGTCTGGTAAAATCTTGTTCTTAACATCGCTTGACTACAAGGACTTCGCAGATGAGTCCGCCCGCGTATACTCTAATCGTAAACATTTTCCCCGTGCGTTGAAATATATTTAGTAAATAAACCCCTTCGGGCGGCTGGTATGTCGGCTGATAATGTCCACGGCTGAGAGATTGTCCGAAAAATGAATATTTGGCCGAGAAGTGATTTAGTCTCACATTATCTGCCAGAGGTGATACAATTAAGTTATAATATTGAAGATTCTCCTTTAACTTCTCCTTTTCCTTTTTGCATCCTCATCCTCCTCATCATCATCATTATCATTGTCACCTCATCATTATTTCATAAAGTTCATTGGTTATCAGTTGCTTTATTTGTTTTCAACGAGCAATATTGTTGGTTGACGTATTCAATCATTTCTAATTTAATGACAGAGCCTTGGTGGAGATCAAGGGTGACATTATAACACGCTGACACTTGACCTCAGAATGCCAGAAATCCAATTTATGAATACCTCAATTTTAAGAATTTACTGGAAGTATCTTGAATCCCTTTACCAAAACTCCTATATATCCATCCCAGCAAACCATGTTTAGTTATTTGTTTCTAGGAGATGATATACAGTCTGAAATGCACATTCCAAAAGTTTTACCTGATTTATTTTTTTGTTTTTATATGACTGAATGCTCTATCATTAAGACTGTGAGCTCTTGTAAACTCTTTTGCATAATTTTTTTATACACAAATAGTACTGTAGTTTACAAAGCCTAACCCATTGTATTTATTTAAATATACCACCTTTCAGATTCCAGTCCTAAGACTCTAAGCCAGGGGCAAGTGGACAGGTGCCAGTTGGTAGCGTTGCAGGGCGTGGGCAGGTGTCATTTGTTGGTTGTGCAGAGCGTGGGTAGGTGCCGGTTGTTGGTGGTGCAGGGCGTGGGCAGATGTCAGTTGTTGGTTGTGCAGGGCGGGGGCAGGTGCCAGTTGGTAGTTGTGTAGGCCGTGGGCCGGTGTCAGTTGGTGGTGCAGGGTGTGGGCAGGTGTCATTTGTTGGTGGTGCAGGGCGGGGGCAGGTGTCAGTTGTTGGTTGTGCAGGGGGTGGACCGGTGCCAGTTGTTGGTGGTGCAGGGTGTGGGCAGGTGCCAGTTGTTGGTGGTGCAGGGCGCGGGAGCAGCGGGAGTGTGCCAGCAGTGGAGAAGCAGAGAGATGTAGTGGCTTATATCCTGAATGACGAGATTCTGTCCGTTGGGATTGTAGACGTAAACCGTTCCGTACTTCGTGGCCACAAGATTGAGAGAGGATTCGTCTGTGTCCTAGTAACGTACGTTAAAAACAAATTCGTGCCTGCACCCGTAATTTTGGAAGATCCCGAGGAAAATAGCTGCCTTCAGAAAGGAATATACTTTTCCTTGCCTATTGGTAACTTGTTCAAATGTTAAAAATATATTGCAGGCGACAAAGTGGTTTTACGCCAATATGAAAATTCAAAATAATGTTAGCCGTAAAGACCAACAGTAAAGCTTGAATTTGTAAGCGTTTCAAGATTGTGGAGTATTGTGTAATTGTTTACATCCTTGGAATACGAATTCCAACTAGCACACAAACCCTAAAAGACCTCGGTTTTATGGCTTTTTTGTTCACTCATTTATTTTTTGTTCACTCTTTTTTTATTTCTGCAGTAGTACATATTTTCTATCTTTTCGCTAGTTCAAGATGCGAGCATTAGTTTAGAAGAAGGACATTTTCCAAGGTTGGAAATATTTATCGTATTGTTTAAAATGTTTTGTTCTATTTTATTAAACAAAAAGTCTCTGGATAAAACTAGACAAGGCATTACGTGCATAAATATCGTGTACAAACAAAGGCCACCTACCTAACCTGGTTGTTCGAAAGGCGATCAACCTTAACCCACGTTTAAAAAGGTGATCAACGGATAAGTGTTTATGTATGGCAATGTTTAAATTGGTCATGTTTTGATGAGTTGAGATTACCCGAAGGCAGAAACGGAGAAATGAAAATAAAAGCTGAGAACCTTAATGAAAAGTCGAAGAAAGTCCATCAAAATTCACGCTAATCTTGAAATAGGCTAACCCGGCACCGAGGAATATATTCATTAGTCTGGTGTGATGACAATGGCCAATTTTCGATATAAAACTGTGGCCTTATATTTATCAAATAAAGAAGCCTAAGCCTTTTGATACACTGTGATACAACACGACGGGCATTTGAAAACACTAGGAAAATGCAGAAAACACGAGCGGCAGCCGAGTGTTTTCTAAATTCTGGGAAAACATCTCTAAAGGCAAGCCATATAACAAAAACTGCAACATTCTGCGAAATCATCCTATTTTGGGCTTCTTTGATCTCCATTTTTCCGTGATATCTTAAGACAACCCAGATTGATAAGGTTTCCCACATTCTGCGAATTCATGCCATCTAAAGAAAACCCACATCAAAAAGGATTTCAAAATTCTGTGAAATCATCCCATTTTTGGCTTCTTTAGTCTCTATCATGATTCAAACATCTCTAAGTCCATGATATGTAGCCTTAAGAAAACCGATATTGATAAGGTTTTCCACACTCCGTTTAAAGAAGACCCAAATCAACATTCTGTGAAATCAACCCATTATTGGCTTCTTTAGTCTCCATTCATTCATCCCGAACTCCGCAATATCTCAAGACAATCCAAATTGAGAAGAATTTCCAGATTCTGCGAAATCACTCTATTTTGGCGTGTCTGGGTCTAAAATGCACAGTTTAGCAAAATGCTCTAGGCTCCGAGTAAGGTTAATTACAGCCAACCAGATAACTCCAGATGATAGCTAATTCCGGGTTAAACACGGACACTTGACTTGGGAGTTTGCACCGTAAACTACTGCTGCAAAAAAGGTGGCCTTCCCCGTAAAGTATGGTGTGAAAAAATCATCATCATCATTTCATCATTTTATTATCATTATTAAATAAAAACATACATTTTAAAGTCGAACAGGCACGCATATAGCTATGCTAGTCTAGGCGGGCTAGTCCGTCAATACTTACAGTCCATAAATAGCTTATTACTATTATTATTAATAAAATATAAAGAAAAGTGGGAAAAGTTGTGATTTAATAGATAAGATTTTCTTTGTTTGTTTGTTTGTTTGTTTCCCTCTCTTTGCTGCCCCCCTCTACTGCTACTGAAATTCTAATTTAGCTCAGAGATGATTCTGGGAACCTCAATGAAAGAGTCTTCATCTTCAAGTACTTTCTTTTTAATTCTGAGTTTGAATGATTTCTTTGGTAGCCCTATCGGAGAGCTAGGTTTCTCATTCCATAGTTTAGCACTAATCCTTGAAAAGGCGTTTTTTTCGGTATTTCAAGTCTTGAGACTTTTATGTGAAAATGATCTGGTTAGGTTAGGGTTAAAGTTAATTCCCTTCTTTTGTACATGACTTGTCAAATGTCTTAATAAACATAAACTGTGTATAGCATTAAACGACATGGTATGGTACTGCAATGGATTGAAGCCTTGTGGTCTGCTGGTTTCCCGATTGGGAGGGGGGGACTCCCATATGGAACAGACGGGGATGCTCGTCGAAAATGTCCAATTTAACCTCTTAAGGAGACCATCTGGGCGTGGCTCAAGCTTTTTGTGATGCCTAAATGGGACCAAAATTTGACTTCTGTATTTCTCCGCGGAACCCTAAGGGAGACCTTGGCGGCTTAAAATATTAGCTTTTAGCGATACCAAAATTTAAATTTTACACCTCTAAGCGAGATGACGAGCATCCCCATCTGTTTCATATGGAATTCCCCTCCCCGGGGGGCTGGGGCTGGTTTCCACTAATGTCACTTTTTGTCCGGCATTAATGTCGATTACTGCAAAGGGATCGTGTTGGAGAGCAATGAGCAAAACATAGAGGCTATATTTGAGGCTACCACGCGTATCAGGATATCTGGGATGCAGTTGTTGGTGAAGTTATGGATTATGAAGTGAGTAAGACCTTAGATTTTAAAGATGTGTTTACAGTACTCTGCCTAGGATCAAAACGAATTATTTTAAATCTATTTCCACGGCACGAGCCGGATAACACAGGCGACACTCGTGCTATTGCCGTAAACGGGTTCAGCGCCAGAAAGGGAAGCAAACGGTCGTGGGTCATGTGCCACCAACACTTTCATGTGTGTTTCACTTGTTTTCAAAGGCACTGGACCGGAAATTCCTGCCACTTACACCTTTCACCACACGAAGTCGTCAAAAAGAAAGAAGTTAATAATAGAACTAATGAGAATCAATGAGGATAAGGGAGATCTGTAGATGTGCCAATAGTGTCAGACAGTGTCGGCATTGATTTCATAACGAGCTGTTAACTGTGAAGTTGCTGCATTGTTGCAGAATTAGGGATTTTGATTGTTCTCGGTCGGTTTGCATGTGTCTTTTGTCACGTGTTGGCATTTGTTCGTTATACTTAGGTATTTCTCTAGGTGCAGGCTTCTGGATTGTGTTCGATATAACGAGGATTTCGTTATATCGAGGTTCTGTCTCATACATTTTACTATAACTCTAGGTGGGCTGAGAAGTATCGTTTGTTCTACCGAGGACTTCGTTATACAGAGGTTCGTTAAATCGAGGTTCCACTGTAGTGTTGTTTGTGTCCGGTCTTGCAAATAAGATGAAAATCAATTGTTTATTATTCCGCGAAAACCATAATGGTTAAGGTTGTCAAGTAAGATGACATGATCTACTATAAAGAGACCACACGAAAATAGACGTTTGTCTATATTGC